TATGATAATTTTTAAATCAAATAAGTACCTTTTAAAATGGAAAAAACCGTCTCCATATACTTTTCAACCAAAAACACTTGAGATTATGTTGGCTTGAAAAAAATACTAAAATTAATGTCTTAAAAAACGATATTATCTCATAAATAAACAGACGGGCACTAAGAGTTAAATGGTAGATAAGAAATCTTGAATTTTTAAAGAGAGAATGAGAGTTTATCTTGGTTAAAGGTTTTAAGTCTATTTAAGACTGTGACGTGGAGTCTTTTTTTTATTTAAAAATATATTAAAATAATTTTTTTAATTTTTTTATATTAGAACATCGAAAATATTAATTTAATATTTTAAAAAATAAATAAAAATAAAAACAACTCAGCTCCCACAGGAACAGTCACGATTGCTGTGCTCGTGGTATTTGTTAGCCTATCATGCATTGCACTGATGGATGACCCTTGATGACTTTCTGTCTAAGAAACCGACGAACCATGTTTTGACATGCATGGATAACCAATCATCACATGCCATGTCGACACAAGACAAGAAGTCTTGCGCAATGTTAGGCGTTGACGAGGAATAAGAAGGGTAGAACTAGAAAGTTCTTACTTGTTCCATTTTGATTGGCTAATATCCTACACTGCAATTGACTTAATTGTCCCTGTAGTTTATCAACTAATAAGGGGAAAGAATCCGAACGTTGGCAAATGGAGGAGTAAGGTTTGGGAAAGAAATTGTTAGTCTTAACGGCGAAGCAAAACTTGAGAAAGAGAGTAAGGAAAAGGAAAATAAATAAACAAAAAAGGGAGTTTTTTTTATGATATTTATGATCTTTTATTAAATTAAAAATAAAGTAAAAGAGCCTAGCTCTTTTACTATGCAGTGCAGTGTTTATTAAAATTCAGAGTTTTTTTATGATATTTATGATCCTTTATTTAAAAAATTAGGTATTTAGATCTTGATTCTTTTTGCTTTACTTTTTTATTACATTCTTTTATTTTTTTTATATTTTAAAATAAAGTTTTTAAAATAAATAACTATGAAAATACTTTAAGAAATCAAGTAATTATATCATGCTGTGTAAATAAAATTATAACTTCTTATAATAATATTAGCAATTATTTAAAAATATTTATATATGAATCTAATATTATAAAAAATCTGTATATAAATATTCAATAAGAATAAAATATGTATTTTTTATTCTGGTATTATAAATTTTCTATATATTTTTTCAATTAACTATTTTTTATTTCTTCATACAAAATTAGACCAAAATACCCTTGCCATCTGTATATATAAACCCTTCGACTCCACGAAACGAAGCAAAGATGATAGAAAAGGTGACGTTGCACTATACTAGTGTCCCGGTCACCGACCACCCTTTGTTCGTGACAAATGACACCTAAAAAAAAAAAAAACTACTTGCGAAACGTTGTGATATGTTAACTCTTGTGTGTTAAAAATATTTTTAAAAAAATTAAAATATTTTTTATTTTATTTTAAATTAATATTTTTATATAATTTTGATGGGTTAATATTAAAAATATTTTTAAAAAAATAAAAAATATTATTTTAATGCGTTTTTGAATGAAAAATATTTTAAAAAATAATTAAATTATATTTTTAAACACATATAAAATAATAAAATAATATTTTTGTTTTCTAAAAAAAGATTAATTCATGAATATTCACCAGCAGTGATCATACTGCCTTGTTCTCAGGGACTGCGAATGCATGATGCAACGAACACTTAATCTGCTACATAAAGATCAGATATATATATATATATATAGAGAGAGAGAGAGAGAGAGAGAGCTCTTCGTTTGGCACTAATAATTGTGTGCAGCGGCTGTAGAGACATGCCATGAGGTATAGTGCAAAGACCATATAGAGACTTCAAATTATCTCAAAAACCAGGCCAGGAATCTGAAGCCAGTTTTCATTAGCTACTGCCTTGTTCTCAGGGAAGCAAATGCATGATGCAGCGAACACTTAATCTGCTACATAAATATCAGATATATATATATATATATATATATATATATATAGAGAGAGAGAGAGAGAGAGCTCTTCGTTTGGCACTAATAATTGTGTGCAGCTGCTGTAGAGACATGCCATGAGGTATATACATATACGAGGTAGAATTAATGTGATAAGATCTGATTATAATTAGATACTTGTAATTATTAATTAATGGGTTATTTTCTAAGTCCTGTTTTTGTTTTTGTTTGATCCTCTGTGGGCTTTGATGAGTGCTTGGAAAGATGCACTGCAACCCATGCACTCTGAGGATGTTAATTGACGTGCAAAATGCTGACAATCTTATTATCATAGAATATCAAGTGTTGTAAATAGACAAGCAAGCAGTCCATGATAAATAAAAAAGGATTTATGGATCTCGGAGGCCTCTATCCCTATCAGCTCTCCGACGATAGAAAGAATAAAGGGCCACCTGAGTTCTAATTTGTTCGTTGATCAGGGCGGCCGCTCTTTGGTTTTTGGGATCGTGAAGTTCTTCTCTCTATGTGATGTTGTATGGCACGGTAACATAATTTTCACGACTGTCATAGCATCAGCCGTCGTTGTTGATGATTATTGACTGAATGGAGGGCATGGCAAAGATGCTGCGTGTGTGTGTATTGAGCTGCATCGATCAAAGCATATTGGTGCTGATTAAGATCAAATAGAAAGATGGGAAATCCATTGCTGAAAAACAATAAATTAATTAATTTTATTAAAAATAAAAAAATCTTTTGCTTCATGATTTCATTAAGGTGCTCTTTTCAAATTTACTTAACATATTTTATTTGATAAATACAGTATACTTTTCCCGATAAAGATGGGAAAGATGAATCAATTTCTAGTAATATTTGAAAAGGTAAAGCTAGAATTGCTTTAAACTAGCTATCCGACATGAGAATGCGAGAAAACAATGTCAAATAAAAACATTATGAAAATCAATGTTAAATGTCTAATAAAAACAATATAAATATTGTAAATTATCTTGATAAAAATCCTGCTTAGATAAATGACGATAATTGGAATCAAATAATTAAAAATATCTAATCCACTTCTAGATTTCAAAAGAGATTGTAATCTACAAGGAAGAATTGATTAACTAAAATAGATGTAAGATAAGATTCATTCTGGAGAAATAGTATTATTTGCATTGTATCAAGTTAGCGAAGGATTTTTACTTTTTTGGATGGGGATAATGAATTAAGAAGTTTTATATTTATTATTTATAATATTTTTTAATATTGAAAGCAAGAACAAGGGGGTTGAAAAAAACCTATATGGTATGACACCTCTTTAGCTTTGTATTAAAGTGTTAAGTAGTATGGTAATAATAAGTCTAAAATAATGGTTATATGTATTTTTATTTATTTATTTAAATTAAATATTATTTAACATCCAAATGAATTTATTATTGCATGTAATTGTTTTATATAAAAAAAATAATTTCAAAGTATGTGACTTATTGGGAATATTATTCTTTATTAGGTAAAGAAGCTTGGTATGTAGTCTTGTAAAGAGCTATAAATAATAAGGTACATGGTGTATCTTGAATGTTAAAGATTCATACTCAGTAGAGTTATCATCTCATAGTTTATTTTAGCAAGTATTGTACGAGTAGGTAAATAAAAAAAATCATTTTATTTTTGAAATAAAACAAAAAATAAATTTTATAGAAAAATATTTTATGAATAATCTTAAATATTATGATGGGACATGAAAATGAGACAAACGTGCAGGTAACTATGGTCCCATCAATACTACCCCATATGGCTGTACATATAATAATATTTATGGGTCTCACATTTTTACTAGTATAAAACATAACATCCCAATCCATCCTACACCAATTCACGGTATCATTGTTCATATCTACAACAAAAATCGTGATTGTATCCTTTTATTTTTATTAATGTAAGTTGAACTAAATTTTAAATTGTATTACGAATTTTATCTCAAATCCATTTATTATCATTGTTAATAAGGTAAATTTAAATTTTAGTGCATGTTGTTTATATATATTCTACGACTTCCAAATATCCATAAATAATTAATTAAAAAGTCATTTGGGTAAAAAAAAAAAGAAGGAAGATATAGATTAATTAAGAAAAATCATATAATCATGATATTTTGAGTTCATAGGCTGACTGGCTCATCATGCATCTCATGACTGAAGGAGGCAGGAACAGTGAATATCTCACGGAGGTGGAAAGGGGCTTGTGGGTCATCTCATCGGTAGCCCGATGTGTAGTGTTGATTCAAAACAGTGTTTTCTGTGGTTAGGGCCACCTCATCGGGAGGAGGGTCACTCAACTGAGGTGGTGCCCTTATCTAGCTTTTCTTAATACGTGTATATATATAATTGGATTAAAAAGTCCCCTAAATAAAACTATACAAGAATATATAAAATTGATCTGAAAAATTGAGGAGAGGAGCATGCTACAAAACACATGCCTGTCTAAGAAATGCATGCATGGACACAGCAATAATTCCACGCGTTTTACCCCCAAAGCAAATCCTCGTACCTCTCAAAATTTTTTTTTTTAAATAAAGGTAATAGAATAATAAAAGTACTAAATAATAAAAACCATGAAGTGCTGACGGAGAGCACGTGAGCATCCACAAGTGTCCCCCGAAGCGACAAAATAACAACAGTCAGCTCACTCCTCCGAAGGTATCTCTAAAGAATCTCGATGTTTCGCAGGTATAAAAATTAAATTTTAAAAACTAAAACAAATATTATTTTAATATATTTTAAATAAAACAAATACTCTGACTAATAAATCTCCATTGCACTCCAAATCCAAGTTTAAAAAAATAGATTTCATAAGAATATCTTTAATTATGTTTTTTATTTTAACAAAAATCAAGCTTTAAGATGTAATTATTCATAAAAAAAAACCCACAAACTATTTGAGGATAAAATGCAAGAAATTATGTTTTTTATTTTAACAAAAATCAAGCTTTAAGATGTAATTATATATAAAAAAAAACCCAAAAACTATTTGAGGATAAAATGCCAGAAACAATGGAATGAAAACGACATGATAGATACAGAAATTTGCATTTTTCCCACGCCAAACATGTAAAGATTACATAACAGCAAGCACAAAGAAGATTCTGCACCTTCTTCACGCTAATAACATAAAACCGTAAATACCCCCAACATATCCTCTCCTTCATCCCCAGGACAAAAGAAACAAGGGAGCCATTGCACACTAATAGCCTTGTGGCAGGCGTGTATAGTGCTGCCATACGATGTAGGTCATGTAGCAACGCATCAAAACATTTTCCATGTCATTTCCCTTTTACTTTCGCACTTTAGCTTTAGCAGCAGGTGATTTTTTCTTACCTTTGCCCTGTTTTGTTACGCCAACATGTCTTTTTGATCTTGGAACAACTGCTTTTTTCATTGAAACACCTTTTCTTGCACTGGCCACTTTCTTGTCTTCACCCGCTGGTTCCTTCTTGTTTTCACTGCCTGGTTTCTTACTAGGGTCACCTCTTAGCTCTGGTCCTTTTCCTCCAAGAGACCCTTTTGAGTTTCCACCCTCTGGTTTCTTCTTGTTCTCATTGCGTGGTTTCTTCTGGGGATCATGTTTTACCTCTGCTCCTCTTCTTGCACAAGACCCTTTTGAGTTTTCACCCTCTGGTTTCTTCTTGTTTTTACTCAGATCTGGTCTTTTTCCTGCACAAAACCCTTTTGATATCTTCTTGGGATCACGCTCTAGCCCTGCATTTCGTCGTTGAGGGCAAGAGCTGACAAGGTGTCTAAAATTGTTCAAACTACCAAAAGAAGGCACTCTTGTAAATGGTGCAGAGGTAGAGCTAGTTCCGTTGAGTCTGGCAGGCATTGGAGGAGGAACACTGGGGTAAAAAGGCGTGTTTGTTGTTTTTGATGCATTTGTTTGACTAGGGTTTCTTTGAATTGTATTCGCTCTCCCTCTAGCACGCCTTGATGTGGAAGGAGACTTCTGATTTGCCACATACGGTTTCTCGGAATAGGAATCTGCTGGTTCCTTCATTTGAGCGGCGCCAGACACTGGAATCCGTGTCGTGCCTGGACTGGACGCGTAGTTTTTGCCACCGAGTTTATGTAATTCACCTTCAGGGAGTGGCCCTCCTCCAGCCAAGAGTCTCGTCCAAAGCCATACGCTCTTCGCAGCCGCGACAAGGGCTGCGGATGCTGTCGGGGGCTGTGCTAGGAGAATATTGTATCTCCTCATTCTCAACTGGTGAAGAGCGTTAGAGAAGTCTCGATCACCAGAAATCAACAAGTAATTTGCTGGCGCAGGATTGTCCACCGCCCAGAACAACATATCAACAAGAATCTTCTTGTCACTTGCATCTTTAACACCTGTTCATCATGAACATATAAAATCATGAAAATCAACTCACAAACAGCACAAAAAGACTTAAATATTAAAAAACCATTACAGACCAGAACATATCCTGCTGATGTTGCAACACCTGCACTTCTCCTCTTTCAATAACAAAACTTGAGATCTAATAAAGGAAATCATCAATGATTCAAAAGATTGCTAACTCCTCTTTGTTTCTTTATAATTCTCTACAACACTGCAAATCTTAACAAACCCTTTTCTATTTCAGTCAATGCAGTCTCTTACACCAGTTACATAACCCCATCACAAGATCAATCAAAACAACACCAAGAAAAGCCAAATTAAATAGCGACCACGATCCAATCTTTCTTGACTAATCCACCAAAAACCAAGCACCCCATGAAGCAAAGACATCAAAAGGTACAAGTAAGACCAACATACCTGCAGGGACATGATTGAGAGCAATCCCAGTATTAGAAAGAGCCTGTTGAGCAGTTGAGTTGATACCATGAGTGTCACCATAAGCGGAAATAGAGACGGGACCACAATAGTTCATCTCGACAAGAGCTGAGCTTATGTTTTGTGCTATGGCATGAGGGTCACAGCCTCTCGGTACAGCGCAGTTCTCTATGTCCCACCAGACTGATGTCTTCGCATTCACATACTGTGCCTCTGCTCCTCCTCCGTCCTCGCCCATTTCTGACAAAGATCTCCGATAATCACGGTGGTTTGTGTGGCGGAGATTTAGAGGGTGATGATGTGGTTTTGATATCTATATATGCTCTGCTTTGCTTTGTTAGAGAGGGAGGGGGCAAAGACGACGTCTTTATGCATTCCTCTGTGTATGTGTGTGGGGTTTGGTGACTTTAAGTCAAGGTTGTGTTTGGTACGTTTGAAGTCATAACGCAAATTAAATATTCGCGATTGTATTTTTTAATATTTGTATTGTATTTATTATATGGGTAAAACTTTTAAACATTTATAAACTATTTTAGATATTTATCTTAGTATATGTTATTTATTATTATTATTTACTAACGGAATTAAACTATATATAGCATGTAAGTTGAAATTAATTGTATAAGTAACAAGATGTAAAGTATGACAAATAATTAAAAATCTTAGTAGACGAGCTGTTTCTGTGCTAAAACTAAGGTATGTTTTTAATAAATTGTCTTTATATTATTCCTATTAACGGAGGAGACAATCTAAATTCTGGCAAATGCAAACATAAGATTAAAGAAAGAATTTATTTCCGTAGACAGCATAAATAAATAGAAAACAAGTATTTAAATAAGATTTAATTGTATTTATTTTTAAGATATTAAATAAATGTTTGAAGTACCTGCACCCCTTTTTTTTTATTCTTTTTATCCGAGTACTTGCACTGATTTTTTTTTCGATCTGAATAGTGAATACTTATTCTCGCAAAAATATATTATAATTAATTAGAAGTGTTAGATGATTCTTTTCTCAACTAGTGACACAATTAAAGGCTTGATAGTTCATATATATATATATATATATATATATATATGATAAAAGAACATCAAGCGTGTAAAATAATTAATCTAATATGGGCCTCTTTAATTTAATTTTCTATCTCCCAGAGAAAAGAATCTGAATTGTTGTTGGCAAATGAGAGGGTCAAGAAATCGGCTGCCTAAAGTAAACAGCACAAGACCATGAAGTCTTAGTGGAGAAGGAAGAGGCCACGATGGAGTCTTGGACTTTGTGCTCTCTGACAAAACCATAAGACTGCTATCTTGCATCTTCCTGTCGGTCAAAGACATGTCTCGTCCAGCAACTAACCCTGTCATGCATGCATGCATATTATTTCCTAAATCGCTGATTGATTTTCCTGGTATTATTTTCCTAAATCGCTGATTGATTTTCCTGGCAGCGACAAGTTCACTTCTGTTGTCAAAGAGGTGGAGAATGACCTGTATAAATTCCTTGATGATTATTACAAGTTTGCAACTGCATTGAATCTCTCTTTTTTTTTTTTTTAAAAAAAAAAAAAACCCCACCACCATGTTTGACCCAAACTCAGATCTCCAAACCCCAAAAAAAAATAAAAAAAAAATAGCCATCTCCATTCCAAATATCAACCGTACATGATACAAATTTTTCTAGTTTTTTTTTTAATTTATATTTTTGAATAATTTTAAAATATTAATATTAAAAATAATTTTTTAAAAAAATAATCACAGCTATATCCGTGCAGTTAAAATCCCCCTCCTAGGACCTATTTCTTAACAATTAAGAATTTGCTACAGGAAAGGTGAAGAGCTTTGTGGCTGAGAAGGGGGGCGGTCGAGTGTTCAGTTCAGCCAATACTACATCTAATTAAAGGAAGCAACAAGCACGAATGAGAGCTTGGAATCCCCAATCGACCCTTCAGGCTAAGGATAGGAAGCAGAAAGAGAGAGTAATTATGTAACGAGGATACAAAAATCACTAGAAATATTTTGGGATAAATTATTTTTATAGATTATTATATATTATTCATAGTGTTTAGTGACCTATAATCTTCACTTCAACACTGCGCTGATTTTTTCTTTAATAAATTTTTTTCATGGGCGTTAATCTCTTCCTAAATAAATATCTATATTATTAGAAGTATTAATAAAAATATTAATGAGTTTTGATAAAAATAGAGAAGAGAAGAGAGAGAAATTGTAGAATTAAGAAAGAAGAACTAAAGAATATATTTTTATCTCAAGGTTTTGAATTCCTTTCCTAAATTTTACTCATCTTTTTTATATTACTTTACTTGATTTGCTTTATATATTTGCTTTATATAATATATAAGAGATAAAGATATAATTTTATAATAATAAAATAATATTATTACACTTCTTGTACTATCAATTCTAATTAATATAAGCATGAATTAGTTGTTTATATTTAATAAAATATAATAAAATATTATAATTATTAACTCTAACTCAGAGCATAAAAGACTCGATGTGAAGCTACCTTTCAGCTGTGTACTCCATCAAAGGTTATTGAATTCAACTCACACACTTTCGCAATAGAAATTGAGTTCAACCTGTAATTGTATTCAAGAACCATCAGGGATAAACATGCTATAACTCAACGTGAAGGTGGATCTTGTTGTATCCCTAACCCAACAAGAGGCTGAGTGCGGATGTATCCTTGGCTTATTGTAACTAGCTTGAAGTTAAGCACAGGCACGTCATGATTTAATGTGGAGTTGGGTGGGATGTGTCCTGGCTTGATATAGGGCCGGGCATGGGTGTGTTACTGGTCTATTATTAAACCGGACGTGGGTGTGCTTTTATTCAATCTAAAATTGGGTGCGGATATATCATCATCTAATATAAGGTTAGGCCATATAAAAAACATGGCACTATTTTGAGTTGTGAATTTGTGTGTGGATTGAAAATGACTCTCCGCTTGTTCTTAATATAAAAAAAAAAAGTACCTTTTCAATTGAGTGCGAACTGATAGCTTTGATTTGTCCGGTGGTGGAACTCTTGATGGCGAAGGCAAACTTGCTTGGAGCTGAAGAACCTGCGGCAAGCACAAAAGCTGCTCGTCGACCTCAAGTCTCTGGGATTTAAATGAATAAAAAACAGGAGTTTCGCCTCAAGAACTACTCTCTCTCCTGGATTTAATTCATCAGATATTCGTTTTAATAATTTATGATTTTCACAAATATTTATTTTAATCATCTTGCATTCTTTTGTCAATAAAAAACCACACTCTTGATTTTTTTTTTTTATAAAAAAAACAGAATTCTGTTCTAAAAACACACTTTCTTCTCCAAAATTCAAACCCTTCAAACTCTTATTAATATTTAATTTAATTATGGAATAAAAATTCAGAATGAACTGGCAGCAGCGGCCGCCACAATAACCAGGTGGAATAAAAATTCAGAATGAACTGGCAGCAGCGGCCGCCACAATAGCCAGGAACTGCTCGAAAATAAAAATGATAGATACCGAAACTTGTATTTTTTATACATGCCACACATAAAATAAAATAAAAAAGAAAATTCGGCACCTTCTTTTTGGCTCTTAAAACACGAGTATAAAACCGTAAATACCCCTACCTTCTTCTGTCTCCCCAAACCCCTAGACAAAAGAAACTGGTACCAAACTCGCGCACGGGTATCCAGTGCACACAAATAGCCCTGTGGCATGGATGGTGCTACTGCCATCCTATATATATAGCTAGCATCAAGAGCTTCCGTTTGCTGTCATTCCCCTTCTACCTCCGCAGCAGGTGGGTTTTCCTTTCCCTTGTCCAGTTTTGCTAGGCTAACACGTCTTTTTGATCTTGGAACTACTGATTTTTTCAATGAAACTCCTTTTCTTGCTCTAGCCACCTTCTTGTTTTCACCCTCTGGTTTCTTATCGGGATCATGTTTTAGCTCTGGTCCTTCTCCTTCACAGGACCCTCGTGAGTTTTCACCCTCTTGTTTCTTCTTGTTTTCACCCCCTGGTTTCTTATCGGGGTCATGTTTTAGCTCTGGTCCTTCTCCTTCACACGAACCTTTTGAGTTTTCACCCTCTTGTTTCTTCTTGTTTTCACCCCCTGGTTTCTTCTTGTTTGAACTGCCTGGTTCCTTCTGGAGATCATGTTTTAGCTCTGGTCCTTTTCCTTCACCAGACCCTTTTGAGTCTTCACCCTCTGGTTTCTTCCTGTTTCGACTGCGTGGTTTCTTCCTGTTTCGACTGCGTGGTTTCTTCTGGGGATCATGTTTTAGCTCTGGTCCTTTTCCTTCACCAGACCCTTTTGAGTTTTCACACTCTGGATTCTTCTTGTTTAGACTTAGCTCTGGTTCTTTTCCTGCACAAAATCCTTTTGAGTTTTTGCCGTCTAGTTTCTTCTTGTTTTCACCCTCTGGTTTCTTCTGGGGATCATGTTTTAGCTTTGGTCCTTTTCCTTCACCAGACCCTTTTGAGTTTTCACCCTCTGGATTCTTCTTGTTTAGACTTAGCTCTGGTTCTTTTCCTGCACAAAACCCTTTTGAGTTTTTGCAGTCTTGTTTCTTCTTGTTTTCACCCTCTGGTTTCTTCTTGTTTTCACCCTCTGGTTTCTTCTGGGGATCATGTTTTAGCTCTGGTACTTTCCCTTCACAAGACCCTTTTGAGTTTTCACCCCCTGGTTTCTTCTTGTTTGAACTGCCTGGTTCCTTCTGGAGATCATGTTTTAGCTCTGGTCCTTTTCCTTCACCAGACCCTTTTGAGTCTTCACCCTCTGGATTCTTCTTGTTTTGACTTAGCTCTTGTCCTTTTCCTTCACCAGACCCTTTTGAGTTTTCACCTTTTGATTTCTTATTTTTTTTACTGTCTGGTTTATTCTTGGGATCATGCTTTAGCTCTGGATTTTGTGGTTGTGGGCTAGAGCTGGCAGGGTGTCCAAAATTGTTCAAAATATCAAAGGCAGGCACTCTTGTAGATGGTGCAGAGGTGGAGCTAGTTCCGTTGGGTCTGCCAGGCATTGGAGGAGTCGCACTGGGTTCAAGAGGCGTGCCTGTTGTTTTTGACTCATTTGTTTGGCTCGGGTTTCTCAGGATTGCGTTCGCTCTCCCTTTAGCACGCCTTGATGTGGAAGGAGACTTCTGATTAGCCACATACGGTTTCTCAGAATAGGTATCTGCTGGTTCCTTTATTTGAGCGGTATCGGACGCTGGAATCTGTGTCGTGTTTGAAGTGGACGTGTAGTTTTTGCTACGGAGTTGTTGTAATTCAAATTCAGGGAGTGGCCGTCCTCCAGCCAAGAGACTCGTCCAAAGCCATACGCTCTTTGCAGCAGCGACCAGGGCTGCGGATGCTGTCGGGGGCTGTGCTAGGAGAATATTGTATCTCCTCATTCTCAACTGGTGAAGGGCGTTAGAGAAGTCTCGATCACCAGAAATCAACAAGTAATTTGCTGGCGCAGGATTGTCCACCGCCCAGAACAACATATCAACAAGAATCTTCTTGTCACTTGCATCTTTAACACCTGTTCATCATGAACATATAAAATCATGAACATCAACTCACAAACAGCACAAAAAGACTTAAATATTAAAAAACCATTACAGACCAGAACATATCCTGCTGATGTTGCAACACCTGCACTTCTCCTCTTTCAATAACAAAACTTGAGATCTAATAAAGGAAATCATCAATGATTCAAAAGATTGCTAACTCCTCATTGTTTCTTTATAATTCTCTACAACACTGCAAATCTTAACAAACCCTTTTCTATTTCAGTCAATGCAGTCTCTTACACCAGTTACATAACCCCATCACAAGATCAATCAAAACAACACCAAGAAAAGCCAAATTAAATTGTGAACAGGATCCGATCTTTCTTGGCTAATAAAAAAAACACCAAAAACCATACACCCTTCGAAGCAAAAACTTCAAAAGGACAAGTAAAATCATCATACCTGCAGGGACATGATTGAGAGCAATACCAGTACTAGAAAGAGCCATTTGAGCATCAGGATTGATACCATGAGTGTCACCATAAGCGGAAATAGAGACGGGACCACAATAGTTCATCTCGACAAGAGCTGAGCTTATGTTTTGTGCTATGGCATGAGGGTCACAGCCTCTCGGTACAGCGCAGTTCTCTATGTCCCACCAGACTGATGTCTTGGCACGCGCATACTGTGCGTCTGCTCCTCCTCCTCCTCCTCCTCCGTCCATTTCTGGTATATATCTCCGATAATCACGGGTAGGTTTGGTAGCAGAGATTTAGAGGGTGATGATGATAATGATGTGGTTTTGGCATCTATGTTGTGCTTCTTCTTCTTCTTTTTGTTTTATCAGATCTATGTTGTGCTTTGCTCTTGCTTTGTTACAGAGAGAAGGGGGAAAGACGACCTCTTTATGCATTCCGCTGTGTGTGTTTGTGGTTTGGTGACTTTACAAGGTCGTGATTGGTACGTTTAAAGGAGGAGTAGATGGAAAATTCAAGGGGGCCGAGTGTTTATTTTCAAAAGGTAAAGGTTTTCCTTCTTTTTTTCTGGTTGAGAGAGGAAACTAAAGAGCACGAGGCAAAGGTTTTTGTCTACTCGCAGAGAGTCATGAAGCTCAAATTGAATTGCTTACATCACATGCTACTGAGTTTGATGTGGAGAAGTTGGGGAGTTTCATTAGCGAAGTTAATTTTGGGACTGCAAGTGAAGACCCTGTTTTCGTATATTGTGCATTCTCCGAACTCTGGTACAGCCCATCGAATGGCTAGTCTAATTCATCTCCTCAGGATCAAACAAAACCTATTAACAGTACTTAAACAGTATTTATTGATATTAAATTCAATACTTTTTTTATAATTGGAATCGCATCAGTTATAATTTTCTGTTTTTTCAACTGGAATCCGGTAAATTCTTCTCTCCTCTTTCAAACACATAGATCGAAAAATAAGAGAATAAAATCTCGCATCAAAAATAAATTTAACAAATCTTTAGGGACCAAGAATGCATAATTGAGAAAGTAGGAGGACCAAAGTTTATTTTCTTCTTCTTTTTTTTTTTTGCAGAAACCACCGCTAATTTTCTCTATTTTTTTTTTTTTTTTATCTTGGTTCCAGTCTTTTGATTTTAATCTCCCTTGACAGTCTTACTTAAATTTGCCCTTAATTTAGATCATAAATGGTGAATTTATACAAGACAAAAAAAGCATGCTGGGATGAAGAACACAAAAAACTAAGTCAACAGGGAGTCCAATCCACGGCCGGTTCAATTCTCCAGAGCCTTCAAGAGTATATGGTGAACGATCTAAGTTCTGGCAAGAGCAAACATAAGATTTAAGAAATAATTTATTTGCAGAGGCAACAACATGAGAGTGGAAAAGTAAAAGCCAGCCGGAAGTTTGAAGTTTTGTCATCATTCTCGATGGAAGAAAAAGAATAAAAAAAGACGAAGAGTATATTTGGAGGCATGGTGGCTTTTGCTGTGATTGATTGTGGTGGGTAAAAAATATTTTTTTTTATGTTTGTTTTAGTAAATATATGTTTAATATTTTCTTGTGATTTTTTTTAGTATAGTTATAATAGTGTTATTAATATCATTACAATATATATTTATAATCTGTATGGATATACTGATATATTCTATAAAAAATTTTATTATTGTTTTCACATCTTAAATACATGTTTAATGATACTGTGAAGTAATGAATATACATGATTGAATTGCTCTTCCCAGCTTATTAGTTGCTATTGACATTAAAATGCTCTCGATATTAAAATTTTTAATACCTCTCATTTTTATATGGACTAAAATATTTATATTTATTTAAATATTTAATATGAATAAAAAATTATTTAAAAATTTAATTCCTGACAGGAAAAAATGAATAAAAAAAGAAAAGCTAAAGCCATGAGTAAAAGGAAAAGCTAGAGCTAAAGAAGAATAATTAAATTTGGTTAGAGATATGAGAATCGTCTTTTAAAGTTGTTTTTTCTTTTTAAGACAGAGAATAGTTTTAAGATATTTCTCAAGCATTTTCTTAGTATATTTTTTAAAATTTGAGTTATTATTGATTTTTATTAATAAATAAACAATAACAAAATATTTTAATAAAAATTATTTATAAGTGCTTAAGATATTAAATAAATGTTTGAAGCACTTGTACTCTTTTATCGAGTACTTTTATTAATTTTTTTATTTAAATATTTATACTTATGAAATTTGATCAATCAAGTTTTTTAGTTTTATTTTAATTCTTCAAATTCTTACTTTTAAGGGATTCGGTACCCTATGCCTGATGTGGACCCCACTTCAACTAGGCGTGCAGCTTTATTATTACTGGCTTTATCAAGAACAATTTCGATTTTATTAAAAGAAATTTGAAGATATATATATATTAGAATATTTTTAATGACGTAATCCCTTTATAATTTGAAAAATAAAATCTAATTTTCACTAACAACAAATTAAACGAAGATCACTTGTACTGAAATTTTAATTAAGAGAGTAATTTATCAATAATTTAGGGGTTTAGGTATAATTTTAGCAACAAAAAATAATTTAACCACACCCCCCACTTACTCTTTTTTTACAAAGCTGGCCCCAATATCCTAAAAACAGATATTGCTATTAATTAATGTTTGTCAACATGTGAAGTAAATATTCGGCTATTATATTATATATTTGTTATTTTATATGACTAATTAGGAAATTATTGAAGGGATTATAAATTCCATAAAAAAAGCTTATTGAAATTTATATTGACTATTTATTAGTCATTGCATTAAAAAAAATTATGAATTTCATAATAAAAATAAGTATATTAACATAAATTTTTAGTGCCTATAAGATTGCATTATGAATAAAAAGTTGAAGGTAAGAAAGTGAAGACACAAAATCAAGCTGCTAATATATTTATAAATACATTAAAATATAATGTTTTTTTAATTAAAACGAGAGGTGTATTAAGAATTATAAAGAAATCAAGTTTAGAAAGATATTAAAAATAAACTAGATTTTAATTTAAAAAAAAAAAATTGATCGACAAATTAGAAGAAATTGAATTGATCTTCTGGTTTAGTCAACAAAATATTTTTCATGTTCAAATTAGAATCTCTTTTTATTTTATTGTTTAAGATTTTATGGTTATAAAAAGGCTTGTAATTCAACATTAACATTATACATATGTGAGAAAGAATAGCTAAAAGAACTTTAAGAAAAACACTTAATAAAAATATACATTACTTTAGATGTTATTATTATTATTTTAAATTTTTTGATTTTATATTATTATTTTTATTCTTCTACCACACTCATCTTCTAACCGATGCATTGCAACGCTTCATCGTCAATGATAAAATGCGGCAAAATACATGGTTTCTCTCTGTAGTTTCTTCATGGATATCATCTAACAATTTATAATATAAAGCATGGAACGTCTCTTTCTTCCTACCCCATCTCTTTTTTTTTGGTACAAATGAAAAGAAACTAATGAACAAGATTCTCAAAGAAAATGCTGGGAGAGCAAATGGCCCGGTGGTCCTGGAGCTGGATGATTCCAAATCTGAAACCTTTCCACCCCTCTCCCAGCATTCTTGGCTAGAATTCTGCACAAGAGTTAGCCTCCCTTCAGGTGTGATCATGCACCTGTACCTCCCAAGGTTTCAACAGTATCCTCTCGATGTCAAGGGCTCTTAACATGTGGAACACTTGAATTTTATGAATGACCCCGCTGGGTCCAATATTATAAAGCATTGTTATAGATGTATAATTAAAGTGTGTTCTGTTAACAATATATGTAGTGTCCTTGTTTATACGACTGCTTTTGATCCATCCTGTTAATTTCACTGTGTGCAAAGCTCGGTTCTATATATACGACTACTGCTCCATGTACAGAAACTACTACTAAAGCATGCATAAATGACGTGAGAATAATATTATCGCATCTCAAATTCCTTTGATATATATATGTCTACAGCTCTTAAGCTAAGCTTGGACTGTGATTCTTGGGTTTCTTTTCTGAGAAAATAAACAATATATATATATGCCTTGTAGTTTAGATACGAACTTGCCATGTATCTTCTTAATTACACATTGAAAAGGAAGCTGGACAACAAGACTTTGATGGTTTATCGATCTTGGCTCCACATGGGATTTGGTAGGAATGCCATTTTATTTTATTTTTTTTAATTAAAAGCTGCTGTAATTAGCACTGGAATAAGTGTATTATGATAAGTTTCTTGATTCCAAATAAACAAGAATTTCTTGATTCGATAAAGACTATGAATCTCCATGTCCATGATTTTTCTCTATAGACGTGGAGAACTTATCGATTCCAGGGAGGCAATAAATTTCAAGGATTTTTCTTGCAATATTCCCGATTAACTGATGCTCTCCACAAGTGTATATAATCTGGCTCCAGAATGTTTTCGGCAAGTGATGTATATATTTGCACTCGGAATCTTTCGAGCTATCATTTATAGATCATATATGGGTGATTGATTATGTTTAATGCCATGTTGAGTTCTTTCACCTATGATTTTTTATTAAACTAAATTATCATAAGATTGAAAAAAATACAGGAAGGTGCCTGGTAGAAGCACGAATGGCGGGCAGGAACAGTCCAGTAATTTGGCAATGATGGCGGGTCAAGGCATGGAAACTATATTTTATATTATTTTAAGATTGGCAGCACCAGGGTGGGGCCATGGGAGGAAAAACCTTCCTTCTTCTTAATAAAGTTGAGTGAGTCTGTCCTTCGAGAAAAAAACAGTAATTTCTTTCACCTCACGAGTTCACATTGAAACGTGAGACACTCCATGACATATAATATAACACGCTAAACTCTATTTGTTTTTTTAATGCTATCTCATACACACATTTAGTAAAGTGAAAATTAAAAAGTGAGTGTTGGGATTCTCGTAATTTAAAACATCAAATTTAAAATCCAACAAATGAAATTGAAAAACATGAATAGAATAGATATAAATAATAAAGATATAAACATGCTTGATTGAATAAATAAATAATAAGATATAAAATAAAACGGATATAATTTCATAGTAAATTTATGTATTGTTAAAATAAAAGATATGAAAAATATGCATTTTATGTTTTTATTATCATTGTAATTGGCTATAGCAAGATATTGGTAGTTAAATTCTTCATTTTGAGTGTGAACTCAACTGGGTAGGAACATCAAATTAAATGATTATTTCACATTGTAACAGCATTCATTTTGAAGGGCATGAGAATCTGCGACATGGTTCGCTGCCTCACCTTATTATTATTAATTAATTTCAATGATTGGGTTACTTATTTGGATTTTAACGGTTTCTACTTATCTTAGAATTAATAACTATGTAAATCCTAAACGATTCTAAAATAACTTAAATTCATAATAATTAAAAAATAAATTCAAAATTTAACTAATTGAGCTATCTTTTAAGATTATTCCCTCACCTTATTGCCAATATGGTAAGAAACATTAATTTAGGGTTCTTCCAATCTAATTCATGTAAAATGCAAGTAAATGGTGAAATATAAATAAAAGTAAAAGTTCCAGTGAAATAACATATATGTGGATGTCGTGATTATGAACTATAATAAAAATTTAATTGATTTTATAATCAACGATCAACTTATTCATAAAAAAAATTATATAATTGTCAAAACTAGAACCCCATAACAAGATTTTTTAAATATAATAATACGACAATTGGAGTAACGATTCCTTAGCTATTTCAATAAAAATAGCCTTC